ACATTAGTGATACACAGGGAGGTTCAGTCACAAAGATAATAACCAGCATAGTCTTTGCAGGAAACTGCCCAGCTTGGTGATTTTATAGCACTTTTAATCAAAGGGAGAATAAAAAGGAAATTGCTGACTTGAGTTTTGTGGAACAATATATAGAAGAAACAAGTTCAATAAAGGCATGTTTATTGCTATTTGATATTCACATTTCAGGAACATGCAAAACCCAAACAGAGGGTCTCCAGTGAGAACTATTGTTCATTATTGTTACTTTTGGAAATCAGTCTGTATGACTAGGTGACTTTCTTACAGTTGCCTGGAATCTGAATGTCTGACTGAATTGTCAGGGACTGAATAGCTGCATGCAGGAAATGTATGGCCCACTGCAAATTCCTTCTGATTATAAAGTCATTAAACTCTCTTTGAGACCTGTATTAAATAGGTTTCAGTACAGCCAATGCTTGTATTATAGCATAGGTTTCTCTTCAGCTTTTGTCAGATATGATGATTGCCAAAAAGAGATTTTGGTACAACTGTACTAGTGCTCATGAGAAAACATTTTGGGAGCCATTTTTGTCAACATTAATTTTGTCCACTCTGTTCAAAAATAAATAAATGTATTCTTACCTTAAAAAAAAATAAATCCCAAAATGATATTTAAAAACTTGAAGATTTTGTATATTCTCTTTCATGATCTTGTGGAGAAATAGGCAAGGTCTATCTTGCAGGTTGGTCACTACCCCTAAGCAAACATCAACCCATTTTGGTGTTTAAGCTGCACAGAAAAAAATCCTTAAGGAGCAGATAACTTGGTCTTCCTGCACTAGGAAAATGTATTAGCCAGGTTTATTTATTTTATTTTATTTTATTTTATTTTATTTTATTTTATTTTATTTTATTTTATTTTATTTTATTTTATTTTATTTTATTTTATTTTATTTTATTTTATTTTATTTTATTTTTTATTTTATTTTATTTTCTAGCTGAGTGCTACACTGATACAACACTTCCAGATCCATAGCCCCATGAAATTTTTTTCACCCTATAACATTCAATTCACAGCAGAAATGCTTTGTTGCTTTGAGGTCTCATTTTCCCAGACTGCTCTGTGAATTTATATTTTTCATGAGTCACCACCATTTTCTCTGTTGCTCACTTGCCATATGTACAATGGGAGTCCTGGCATACAAAACAACACAGAAGAAATAATCCAGGTTGGAAGCCCTGGCAATAAAGATGAAAGGAAAATGCAGCATACTCAAACTTTAACTTCCACAAAGTACTGTCGCAGTTCTTTAAGGCCGAGACTTTCAAGAAAACAGAGATTTCCAAGGGGAACATAAACAAATAATTAAGATTTTAAACACCTAAAAAAAAAATCCAGAGGAAACTTTCCAGCAAAACTTCCTTCACTTTGGAAAATATAATGCTATCCATTTATATATTCCAGACATGAAGCACTGAAGAGAAGACCTCCTAGAGAGAATAAACACATGCCAGTACAGAAAACTATGCCAAAAAGAATTTGATTTTTTATTGTTAGGCTACTTCAGATCGCAGTTTTCACAGTACCCATTCAGATGCACCTTCTCGCTGAGAGCTTTGTTTCAAAAAGCTGAGAACATGCTTCAAAAAGCAGCTTTTAATGCACTTCTTGAAAATAAGATTCTTGCAGGACTTGGAAAAGCTTATTCCTTGCCACTGAAGGATTAGTGTTAGGTTCAGTTCTCATAGACAGCCAAGACTTAAAGTCTCATGCATCACCACAGTTACTGCATGTCTACTCTAACTGCATAACCCATATGGGGACTGGGCCTCATCTCAAACTCTTACTTGCAATGCTAGAAAACATTATCCACCCAGAGGTGAGCTGAGGACATATTCTCCTGCTTTCATTGCACATTTTCTATCCTTTCAATAATATCCTTATGAAATGAGGATATGGAAATTATGTGGAATAAAATGTTGCACCAGAGAAAATTTAGATCAAAAAATAGCATTGGCAGTTTCCTTTGGTAGTTGTCTGATCCCTTCTCTTGTCCCAGGGCAGGATGGGCAATCTTAAGACATTTCTAGCAAGGACAAATGGAGACTCCAAAGCCTTACGGACAAAACAACTCCCATGAATCAGTCTCCTTTCTCTTACAAAGTTTTTTTGTTGTTGTTGTTGTTTTTTGTTTGTTTGTTTGCTTGCTTTTTCTCCAGATATTTTTTCCAAATTTTATTTTATATATATATATATATCCAAATCTTTATTTTTCCAGATATATAAACCAAATCTTCCTTTTGAAATTTAAACTCAGTACGTTTCCTGAGCAGGAACTGTACAAAAAAAATTATTACATTTTTGCTAACAGCTGTTTCTTGCGTATTTGAAGACTCCTCTCATGTCTTCCCTTCTCCTAGATTAGATAGACCAATAGATCACAAATACGTTTGTGCTTTCATAGTGTATTTCAGTGGTTACTGAAATCCAGGAATCAACTACGTAGTTTACAGGAGACTTGAATGGCAGCACAACAGGATACAAAACCCAGTGTTGTGTATGAATGAAGAGTGTGTGAACGCTTATTTAACATCAGTATTTGCTTATGGTGCATTATGGCTTTTTCTAATTAATTGCTTTGTGAAGTGCTTGATTATGATAGCAGTGAATGTCTTACCTGTCTCTTCTTATCATTTACTTAGAACTATTCTTTTCAGCTGAGATATATATGTATCTGAGAGCTCATTGAGATATGAGGTAGGAAACAGTAGATTCTCATTCCAAAAACTTGTTATCTGATTATCATAGTTACTAAATAAGGCCTCTTAATACCTCCAGCAGATCAGAGTATTCAAAAGTCAAATGAGAAAAAAGAAACAACATGAAGTATTTAATTTCCCCATTTTTAAGATCTTTCTTATATTTTTCCCTCTTTGTGCCAAACTTTCAAGATGTAATTGGAAATGTTGGATACATTTCTTCAAAAATGTCCTCTGAACAAATTACCAAGTACCATTCTGTGAAATAAATGGATCAGAAAGAGCAGCCTTTCTTCAAAAGAAAGCAGGCAAGCTGATATTCAAGTATTCAGTCTTTTATAGGTTGTTACTCGTTTCCTCAGAACATTCTTGGGAACCAAATTATTTTATTTCTTAATTGTTTCCCAAGCAAGATTCTTTATGAGGCTTTCCTAATTTCACTGTCGATTTTAATTTAATGTTTTCATTCATTTCTTTGTAAAGTTTCACTTTAAAGACATTACCATTTGGGAGATGGCAAATTCATTCCTGTATCTGCTGTTTTGTGAACCATTATTGCTTTAAGATTCTTTTTCATCGGTCGTACATGTATATGTATACCATCCTACATCTTTAAAATCTAAAGGTCAAAATTGCAATGAAGAAATAAAACAAAAACAACAAAATACACAAACAAACAAACAAACAAACAAAAACAACCAGCATATCTAAAAGGTCAATAAAGAAAAAACTATCTTGTCAGAAATGAAGTACATCATTCACATGTCATTTCCTGGTCTCCTTAGTCATGTAGCAACAAATTGCTCATGTGTGAACAGACTATTTATCCATAAACACAGATGACAAGTTCAGTGGGAGTCTCAGAAAAGAGAGTTATCCTTATGCACTGAGCCTGTGAGCTCTCTCATAGTGCACAGCAGCATGGTCAGAGCTGTTGGGAGTAACAAACATGGGCACAAATAAGTTTAATAACTTCATTTACTGTTACTGTCCAGGGAGGGTAGTGAAAATGACATTATAAAGCATCCTGAATCTTTATATCAATGATGCTTTTACTGAGCCAGAATCAGAGGACAGAAGGCCTCAATCCACATCTGTCTGTGTCTGATATTTGAGGGTTTTCACAGCAGAAAAATTACGAGGCATCACCAAAAAATTTTCTTGCTTGTACTTAGACCCAGAAGCAACAGCCAGAACATCCTGAATGAGTTTTGATTGTGGGAAATGATGAATACAGTGTGACTTGAGAAGAGTGCCAATTGTCTATAAAAGGTTTACTGTAAGGCTAAAAGAGACAATGGACTGCATAAGATCTTCAAAAGTGTTTAGCGTTTTCATTTCAGCATTTTCATTTACCATCTTTAGTGGACACTGTGTGGATATAAGACAAATCTTCTCATGACAAATCTTCAGGGAAACGACTGCAATGGGAAGATGCATAGAGAAGCAGAGAGATGAAGGTAGTTCCTGAAGGATCCATCTACAGAAAATCAGGGCAACATTTTCTTTTGTAGGCTGTGAATTTTGTAGGCTGTGAACTTACTTGATGCATTGGTTCATAACTCTGAGACCAAATTGATGTTTGTTTCTAAAGACAGCACTCCTTGGATGATAAAGGAGTAGGAGTGCTCCAGGTGTCTCTGTCCACCACAAATGACAGAATATTGACTGACTCATTTAAGCAGAATAAACAGTAGTATATGAACCCAAAATAGTCTGTGCAAGGGTCATCATCCTTCTACTGGTGGTAACAAAAGAAAAAAAAAATGCAGAGAAAGACTCATAGTCCTCTTACATAAAACAGCGACTATGATGCTATTTCTCCTCTCCTTACAGTGGTTATACATGGCTTAAACATGTAAGTGACTGCTACAGTTTTGCTATTATTTTCCAGATTCCAATGAATAGTGAAGCCGAGTATGGAAGAATAATTAAATGCAGTAATAATCAGATTGATTAATACTGGGATCATGTCTGACATTTGTAATACAAACTGAAGGACAACCCATAACATGGATATGTGATGTCTGGTTATGACATTTCTTAAAGTGCATTCAGAGATTAAAATCATTAGATAAATGTGAATTATTACACAGTTATCTTGGTGTTTTCCCCTTTTGAGATCCTCTCCTGCGGTGACTTGAGAAATAATAGAATAATAGGAAGAGATGATGTTTGGAAGCTTTTATGAAAAGTCTTTTTTTTTTTTTTTTTTTCCCTGGCTGCTTCAACAGCTAACCAAAGAGCTTCTGAAAGGCAAATTAAAACCTTCTTATTTATTGAATTCAGAACAGTGCACACAGCCAAGGAATATATTTCACTGCAAGGTGGACACATTGTCATCTTGCAACCTTCAGCCCTGTGGACCAGCTTTTGGTAACCCAAGGCTTAATTTGGTTCAGCACAGCTGTGTTACCCTGGATGTTTCACAGAGAAAATTGTTAAAGTCTGAGAAAGTCCATGAACTCAAGTAGTGCAAGATAAGCAAAAGCACAGAGAGAATTGTAATTGTTGAGATGGTGACAGAAGCTCAAGGATTCAAGAGGAAAGCCAAGAAAAACTGAAGCTCCCAAAGGAAAAAATAAATAGGAGAAAGGAAAGAAAGAGAAGGTTTGGCTGTCTTCTCCCTAAAGATCAAACACAGGCAGTTAAATGAAACCATCTGATTTTTAATATCATTTATTTTCAAAGATTGTTAAAATAAGTATGAGTCTTTCCCAGAATTTCTATTTCTATTGAAATAGAAAATCCCCAGAACGCCGGTGTTTTCTGTGAAAAGCAACTGGAAATATTATGTCACACTGTAGTTCTGATAATAAAGACATAAGCAAGGAAAATTTTGAAGGGAAAGCAACATATATTATTAGCAGGTAATAATCAGTAATTGCAATTTATAACTCTGGCCAATTCTGTTTCTGATCTGAAGAACAGTTTATATGTTTGAAATCTTGTCTGTGTTCTTTTTCCACCCAGTTATGTCAACTGATTTAATAAAATATATTAACATTTGCCAACAAAACTTTGTTGTGATAGTATAACCCTTTCACGTCCTTTCCTATTTGTGTTCTGTGCTCAGGGTCAGGAGCAAAAGACAAGACCACACTGAGGAAGCAGCAGAAAAACTACTGCCATCTAATTTTCTCATTTCTCATTTTATGTTGATTTTTACTTTTAAAACAAAAGAAAAAGAAGTTCTGAAACATCAGAACATTCCAGCTTTCATTACTCTAGGACTTAAACTTTGGGATCTTTCAGTATTAAAATGGCTTCGTATGTCTCGTATGTCAAGAGACTTTTCTATTTTATAAAAGCATGTATCTTAAAATCAAAACATAGGTTACTTTTCTTTAGAAGCATCTCAGTTCATCTAGTATTCTTATGCATAAAAAAAAAAAAAAGATCCATCCAAACCATTTTTTTATATTTCTTCATGTATTTATCAGAACTAAAAAATCACTGAAAGATCAATTATTCCAATAGCTCAATTTCTGCTCTATATGGGCAGGATGATATTTCTGACTGTAACATTTTTTCTGTATGGGTCTGCCTCAGCTGATCCCCTCCCGAGAACATATCATGAGATATGCACCATTTACTTATGAAAGCACTTCATTGTTCTCATGCTGTCAGACAGCAGTTTTGTTACACCATACATTTTCTCCAGTAATTTACTTCCTTCTGAATTGATGTGCAAATTCTCTTACAGAAGCCAAGAAATTCTGGACCATTATCAAAGTGTAAAGCATGTTAACATTATGCACACCAGGATAAGGGGATAAATCTGTGCATATTTGGTCTGGTGCATATTTACACAGGTTTCTGAAAACTTGGGACAGAAGCATTGTTAAATAAGTGTCTACTTCAAAAAGCATATTTTATTATTTGCTCGTTAGGTTAAACAGGATATCTAGAGCTCCTCGTGATAAATATTACACTTAGCAATTAATTTTTCATATTTACAAGTGCATATAGTTAAGGTTCTAAAGTAACTAATCTTCGTTTGCATATATTTCAGTCCAAAGGGCATCATTAGAAGATAGGATCTCCAAGACAATAATGAGCTGTTTTTATTAACTATGCCCTAATGATTACAGCAAGCTTGTACTTCAAGAGTGGTGAGATAGTTTCCTGGGTAAGACCAAAGAAATAATTATGCATCATTGTCTATTTCCCCTTCCATGTAAGTCACTCAGCTACAAAGCTGTTTCCTGCTCCTGGGTTGATGTACTGAGGAACCTCTTGAAAAATATTTAATTGAACTTGGCTACAGTGTGAATAAAGGATCAGGATATGAAGTCTGATCTCTAGAGTCTATAGCTCTGGAAATCCAGAATAATGCAAATGATGTATTATAGGAAGGAGGAGACTTTTTTCTGCCTCTACAGTTCTGAGCATGAACAGATACTCTAATCTGCTTGTTTCCTGTTATTATTGTCAAATAAAATGGTATGTTAAAAAAGGTTAGCAGGGAATTGATAGGATTTTTCCTAACCTTGCAATTGTTTGTTTATTTTTCAAACACAATCTTTCCATGGATTTGTAATCACAGTGTAAGAACTCTTTAAGTTTTAATTTAGAGAACTTGTTATTCAGAAGTGACTGGTCTTCCAGATTATTTGATTTATTTTCATATTTTCCATGCAAAAATAAAATGATTTTTTTTTTTTTTTGCTGCTCTCAGGTGTTTCTGGTTTGTATTTGATGAACATATGTTATTCCCCATAGTGCTAAGCAATTATCACTGAAGAGGAGAAAACAGATCTATACAGGCTTTCAGTCAATCACATTGTTCATCTTTTGCCCACCATAGATCAAGTAGATCTTTATTATTCCAAATGAGTGTTTGTCCAGCCTGCTCTTTAAAGGCTTTAATGATGATAGAGCTTCTGTAGCCTCACCAGGCAATCTATTCCAGTACCTAATTATCCTTACTGTTGGAAAGTGGATTTTTTTTATTTATTTATTCCTTTTTTTTTTTTAACATCCAAGTTAAATTTCTCTTGCCACTATTAAAAAGGCCATTGCTTTTTGTACTATCCACAGTGGACATGAAGGAAAAACTATTCATTTATTTTTTTGGACAACTTTTTATGTTTGATGATCACTATTATGTTCCTTATCAGTTTGTTTTGTTTTGTTTTTTATTAAAGAATCCCAATGACTTCATAGTGTATTTATCAGACACATTTTCAGCCCTTTCTTACTGATCATACTTCCAGAATCTTACAACATTTTCATTGCACTCTGGATATTTTGAAATGGTCCATTATCTTTTGTCTAAGTGCAGAGCTTAAACTTGGACACAACATTACAGTTAGTGTCTTAGCATTTGCACAAGAAATGTTGTCATTATTTGGACAGCTGTAAAAATAAATATTCTGAGTCTACATGTTTCTTTCTCAATTTATAGCTAATCTCCATTTATAGCAGATCCCCACTGCGACATGTTCTGATGCTGTAGAAATCAGGGATACTTCTCAGTCTTCTTTTATGCCAGATCAGGATCTCCTTTACCAGTCTCAAGCCATCCAGACGTCCACCACATGTTCATCCACTTCTGCTGGTTTAAGTAAGGACATTTTTGTTACAAATTGTTGGTCAAGTGCATAGTCAGTTATTAAGGCTCCAGAGTTGAGAGGTAACTGAAGCCCAATTCACATAATTTTATTCTGTCACTTAACATCTCTGAATGTTATCCAAAATTTGGATCAATCACTAATGTAGCCAAGTAAGTATGTTATTTTATATAATATTCATTAACCTATGCCTATTCATTAACCTACAGCATCTCATCTAAGAGAGGCTGTCATGTACCATGAATGATCTGGGTTCCTAGGTTCAGCTGTATGAATCTTAAATTCCATCACACCTTCCGTGCATATATTTTCACCTACTACTTCGTAGAACTGTAGAGTGTGGGCGGGAGAAGACCTTCAGAGTGCCTCTGGTCTAAGCTCTCCCTTGAAGGAGAACCATCACCAGCCTGGTCTTATCAGTCACGCCTCTTTGCAGTTATTTTTCTTCTGTACTGATGTAAACACAGTGAGAGCCCTGATTCAATAATTTAATGAAACATATGGTTAATGCCATTCTGCAAACTTCAATAAAGCTGCTCATGTACTTAAACTCGAACTCATGAATAAAAACCCAGAAACTGAAAGCACAAAAAAGCTGAATTTATACCAAGGTTGAGACTATACTGGGAGAATCACCTGCAGAGGAAAAACCAAATTGTTCTTTGGGGAATACTGCAAAAATTGAAATAAGCCAGTTGACGTGTTTTGTGATGAACTTCATTATTCTGTGTACAATCTTTCTAGATGTTTTCTGGCTTCCTAAAATGCTTGTACTGATTAAAATCCAGTCCCCAGGTTCCTGGGTAGTCAGGTTACATGAAGGAAGGTGCCGGTTTCAAGTGTGAGCCATCAGTTTTGCTCCAAACATCAGACATTAGCTGGAGAACTTAAGCCCAGTCTCAAACCTGTCTTAACCTCAGTCCTCACCAAAGGCCTGTGAAGCCTACTGTGACAGACATTAATTGATCATTATAGGAAAGACTAGCCAAAGACTGGATAAGTCACAGAGCTACATACGAATAATGTTAAGTCATGGTGGAGCAGGCCGGACCTCACTATGGCTGAGTCTCCTGAGTCCTGGCAGACCCTGTATCTGCTCCCTGAGGACAGAGCCTATAGTCATACTATTAATTCTCGTTCAAAATCCTGAACAGTAAGTAAATAAATAAAAATAACAAGATGGTGGTTGGTTTGAAGAGTATGCCCTCACTCATGATGTCCCTCTCTTCCTCACTATATTTTAGGCCCTAATCCAGTTTCAGGAATCCTCCATGCAGGTGCACATATGCACAAATTGCAGCCTTTTCTTGCCAGGTTTAGGATATTTCAACCTTCTAGGCGTTTGGTGCTTTTCTCCTGTAACTATCCTGCTCACACCAAGGCACCAAAGTATGAGAAACTTCCCAGAAATCTGCTGGCCTCCCACAGTCTCTGACGAAGTTCACTGGGACAGAGCAGTATAGTCAATAAAAGCAGGTCTTCTTGCTGCTGTTTCAAAGCTGGGTACGGTTTTCAGATGCCATGAGGAGTTTGTGGATTTGTGCAGAGCTGGACAATGTCAGGAGTTTGCCTAGCAAACCAGATATTATAAAAATATATGTTCTTGTCTGGTGTCTTTTGTTTTTTGTTTTTTTTTTTTTCCAATGAGGGAGTTTGAGCTTGATCTCCAAAACATGGCAAGAAAAACTACAATAAGGGGAATTAGATAGTCCATAGGTAAACAAAGCTATAGATGTTAACATAATCCTAAAATAATACTTGGCTTTAAAACAAATAGTTGTTGTCAACTAGGTAACTCAGAACTTTGTATGCCTCCTCTGAAGTATAAGCAATTGGAATGTTACTCCCTAAGTTCCAGATAAGACAATAATTAAAGTACCTGCCTAGCACCAAATACGTGATGAAAGAAGATATGTATCTGTTTAAAAACAGAGTAATTTTTCAATATTGCGTGTAAACATTCTATTAGAAAAGTACCAGAAAGAGAATGTGGGGAACGTATTTAAAAGTATTTAAATGTCTGCATATGTAAATATTCATAAATATGCATAATATGTATAAATAAATGCATGTATATTTTTGCATGTGTAAGTATGCATATAAATATATGTGTGTGTGAATATTTACATATAGTATGGATACGTACCTATTTGTATTTGCATTTCTTTTCTCCCATTAATCTTCAAGATTTTATATCAATAACTGCATTTGGTAAGGTAAATTTCAGTTTCGCTCAAATATTGTTTTGTTTCAGAAACAGTATTTAAACCAAGTGTAAATATTATATATGTACTTTGTAAACAAAATATAATGATTCTGTAATTTCCATAAAAATTACAGTTAATGTATCAAGAAAATAATAACAACATTGGCAATTTAAAAAAAAAAAAAAAGGAGGAAAAAATTTTTAAATACAAAATTATGCCTACTTTTTCTTTTTTCTCCTCTTTTTATTGCCATCCTTAATTATCTGTAGCTTTGGCTGAGGACTATGAAACTGTCCTCATATTTAAAATAAATATTCACGCATATCTAACTGACTCATATGCTCCTTCAGAACAGCTTTCTTCTCTACTCTTCCCCATCTGCTTCAGGGCTGAAAGGAACATGAAGGCTGAGTCCATACAATGTTTTACAAAACATGTTTTTTCTTTCTTTTGGCTTTGTCTTGTTCTACATCTGATGTCAATTCTTTAATATAAAGACTCAGGGAAATGAACAAACAAACAAACACATAAAGACAAGAATTTTTCTTCAGTACATGACATTCTCAATAGTGCTACACACTGCTACTGACTTTTATATTAAGAAATTATGCTTTCTTTTATTCAGATTGATTTGTTGTTGTTTTTTGTTTTTGCTTTGTTTTGTTTCAGAAAGAGGGTGGATGTTCTTATGTAAAACCAGACAAAACAATTACAATTGGTCAGGAATCATGATCCAAATGAACATGATATTGAAAATAGTCTCTAATGTAAACAGATTAAAATATATTTCCATTCCACTATGGCCTAATGCTGAAAAAGTGTACAAATGGAAGTAGAATGGATATAATATTTACAGAAATATCAGAGCTGTGATACTCAATATATTGATCAGCAATGATATTTGTTTAATGAAGTTAAGAATAGGAACAATTCCATCAGAGGTGTTCTGGAAAACATGTCAGGCAGTTTCCTTTCATGGCATTAATCCTAAATGGCCCACTGTCCATGTCAGAATGAATTGGAGTCTCAGCTACACTTCCTGGGTGCTTCTTTTGAATTTTGGAAATGACAAAGGTAAACAAAAAGCAGAGATCCTGTGGTGGGTCCACTGTGAATGTAAATCGGTACAGCCCTACTGAAATAGTGAGCTGTCTTGATTTACAGCTGGGAAGACAGTACCAACAAATTATATGTATAGCAAAATAAATGAAAAGAAAATCAGGGAAAAGAAGATAATTTGTTCTTAAAGACAAAAATATGTTAATTAGAAATATTTAAGTCTGACAGCTAAGATTTATGGAAGCCCTTTTGGGATTTGCATAGCAAACTGTGATTCAGAAAATAGCTGTTTTCCATCACCCTCTTCTCCTTAACTGCCTAGAAGTCTGGAGTGCCAATTACCCTTATCATTACCTCATGAAGGGCTGGATAAAGCACTCCATCATTCACTGATCATGCGTAGTGCACAGTCTGTAGACACCACTTAGAACACTCACTCACTTATGAGTATAAACTTGGTGAGGCTCATAAGGAAAAAATAATAATAAAAATCTACTGCATAAAAGCTAAATAAATGTCATTTCACACACTTAATCTAGTGCCAAGATAATAGCTCTGTGTGGAATCCACTGGCAAGTAAGTGTTTAGACTCCATATCCACTTTAGTGTCGGAAAGAAAGTTTTTTTTATTTACCATATTTTCATTTATTTTCAGCAGATTTTCAACTAAGAAACAAACTATTGATTTACAGTTCAACTGTGCTTTGTAAATTAGATCCAACCATGTTTTACCTAAACGGTAAAAATGAATTTAGAAGAAACATAAGGAATAAAAGAGTATCAAATCCCAGGAACGGGATAATACATTTTAAGTCACCACTAGTATTGAACTAGGGGGCTGGGGAGGGTTGGGGGAAGAAGGGTCAGAATTTTGATATTTTCTTACAATTCAAAAAAGTTCTCTCTGTTGCCTCTCCTAAGTTTATACAGATTGTCAAACTGGCTAAAGAAATGATAAACTGAGTATCATATGTCCAGTCTAGTGCCACCTGCCTTGTTGTGTCTCTGATCTATGGGTGTCTCTGCTCAGCCACTTCTTAAATGGCCAAACAGCCTTCTGCCACTAACCATCTTTAATCAATTTAGTGTTTTGCTTTTTTTTTGTTTGTTTGTTTGTTTTGTTTTGTTTTGTTTTCCCATGAAGTAACACTTTTGGATAGTTTGTAGGAACAGGTGCAAGATTTAAATGTCATTGGTCTTAAAGCTAATATCAGGAATCCCCACACCTGTCTGTAGTACTGATGTCGGCAGGCCATGTTTCACGATGGCAACTTTGCACAGGAGGGTGCCATGTTGTAGGTAAGCATGATGACTTCTTCAGTTGAGTGAGAGGAAGATGCAGACTTGATTCAGACTTGTCTCTTTGCACACAATTTCATTAAAACAAACAAACAAAAAAATCAGATATTGTTTCCATTCAAAGGCAGAATAAGAATAAATTTAAAGTTTGTCACAAAGTGGACCTGTCAGATATTTGCCAGCTCTCCTCCTTACAGCCTTTTACTGTATGTGAGCTGAAATGACTCCTCAGTGAAAAGTTGGATCTTGCTGTTTCTGTCAAGGATGTCAAATTTAGACAATACCCACACTGTCTTAAATGATAAGGATTAAAAAATAAACCAAACCAAACCAAAACATACAAACAAACAAAAAACAACAACAACAAGCAGATAATTTCCTAATCTCTCATTGTTGCTGTAAAACAAAAGTGATGTTTTATTAAATTACTTTTCAAGCTGACTCTTTTAGAGTAGGTAATACACATTCTAGGATCTTCTTTCAGAAATTAAAACTTATGAGAGGCTGTCAGAGGTCAGGAAACAGACATTGCTTTAGAAACTTAGGCATTAAAAAAGCACTTAATTGTCAATTATACAGAAAGACAGATCCTAAATGATCTTTAAAACCATGAAAAATTAAAATAATTCATAAAATAAGTTAAAGATACATGCCTTCAGCACTGTTTATTGTAAGGCTTAGACATATTTCACCTCTTAGTCCCACATAAGGCTGTTCTCTAAATTTCTAACACAGGCTTATAATATGGAAGAAAAGCTCTAAAAGGGACTTCACCTCACATAAACTGTGATTTTTTTTTAAGGACTATTCTATTTGAGAAGCATAAGCACAAACATACAAATCACTTTTCTTCTATATTTTAGCAACTAATGGTATCCAAAAATTTGCTGAAATCTCAACTGCCTTTTATCAAGAATCAATATCAAAGATCAAATTTATCATCTTTTATATCTTTTTAAGTTTCTCAGAATTCAATCAGGTTGCAGTTTTTAGTGAAAACTGGAATTGCCTCTATCTTGCACTGAAATTGGGACATTGGGAACAAACAGCAAGAACAAGGAAGTGCAGAGACTCACTGTTTCTAGCTGAGTTTCTGGTTTGAAAAGTGGGTTGTAATCATCCTGGTCTTGCGGTCTGATGGTAGGCATTAGATAACTGCTTAGATAACAGCTACTTAAAAAAGGGTTTTGGGTACTGAACAGAAATGTATTGGGAAGGAAGAACTTTTAATAACTTTAATGGGTTTAGATCAGGTCCCTTTTTTTGCTTGCCTACAGCAGATAATGTTTCCTGAGAATCATGGGGGGATTTGGTATGGGGTATTTTGGTGTGGGGTTAGAGTAAGTGTGAGTTTCTAGAATAGTTCTCATAACTTACTTAAGAGGACTGCAAAGTAAATGATAATTTAAAGTTGGCAATAATAATAATAATAAAAATCAATGTAAATAACGTGATTTTACTAAATCTTTTAATTTAATTAGATTTGCAATCTGATAAATCAAAGAGAAATGTCTTTTCTGCTCTGCTTTTAGTTGGCTGGAAGGGGCACTATGATGACAGAAGAAGCCTTTTGGTAAGTATCTAGGAAAAAAGAGGACATAGACTTGAATCTGGCTACAGCTGACCAATTATTAAGATGCAACAACATTTATTAAAGGCTGAGAAGGCTCCAATGGGTCTCCCATACAGATTTATTTCAATAAGTAACTAACTAAATAAATAGAGTTAGATTTTTATTATGTGATTGATAAAATAGAGCTATATCTACAGCAATTCATATTGTTCTATGCTATGCAGGACCTATTGCCCAGTAAGGATAGCTCCAATGAGCAAAACCTTGTTTCTGCCCTCAATTTGCTGTTAAGGCAAGCTTCTGCTTCTGTCCTTATCATTCACATTTCTGAACAGTAAACTTGCTTACACATGGTGATTTTCTGTCATGATACGTACTATGTAAGTCTCTGTCTTCACCTAGTCCTCTAAATATTACTGTACAACATTCAAGTCATTAATAGTGAGAATAAACCTATGTTAAACAGCAGAGATGCCGACCTATGCAGGTAGAAGTGCTAGCAAGGCAATGTAGGCAGTAGGTTTACAAGGATGTCATGAAGCCTGGAGGGGACAGATGAAATTTTGTGGCATAAAATGGACTTGTCTTCCTGTCTACAATATGGTCCAGCCTAACAATGGCTGAACATTAAACAAGCATAAAGGACAGACTAAACACTTAATACAGAGCCTATTCTAGGAGAAGAAAAAAAAAAAAAGTATTAATTTATTCATTTGCCACTAGCCCACTCTTGTCAAAGGAGATAACACCTACCTTGAACAGGGAATGGAATTTTCCTGCTGGTTTGTAGGTTATTTAATTGACCTCTGATTCTCAGGGATACATTCGGAAAGTTTACTTCTTAAATGGTATTTCTATAAAAGATATAAGAAATCACTCCAAGGGTATTTACAGTGACTGGTTATCTGGTGTTGACATTAATTGTGCTAGCATATTTTGCAGAACAGCCTCAAGTGTAAAATTAGCTGAACTGTAAGACCCTTCCATATATAACAGTCTAGCTTAATATACTCCATCAATATATCCCCTGCTTTGTGCCTATTGCTTAGCTGAAAGAATGTGGACAATTTCATGCAGATGTCCCTTGGGCTGAGCCTGTAGGTGCATCCACAATGTTTAAGGATGTGCTTTTCTTTGCTGCATATCTGTACAGGCTTTTTTTCAAATCTGTTCAGAGATAAGAAATAACCTTTCTGAGAAAAAAAAAATCTCAAAATCAAACTAACCAAAATTCCATAGCAGAGCTCAAAACTTTTCATAATTCAGATTATATTCTTCAAATGTATATAGCCTTTCATCATCTCATAGTATCATTTATCACAGAATCACAGAATGGTTGAGGTTGAAAAGAACATCTGGAGGCCATCTGGTCCAACCCTCCTGCACAAATAGGGACACCCAGAGCAGGTTGGCCAGGACCATGTTGAGATGACTTTTGAAGATCTCTAAGGAGGGAGATTCCACAAACTCTCAGGGCAACCTGTGCCTGTCTCCAACATCGACACACCTGATGTGAGGGATCCTGGCACTGGGTACCAGTGAAAATAGGATGTCTCTGCTTTCATTGTATCCTTCCCTCGGGTATTTATACATATTAATACATGTAAGGTCCTCCCTGAGCCTCCTCTTCTCTGTTTTTGTTACCTATCTCCATTGTTAATACTCCCAACCATACTTAAAATGTTAAACATGTCACATTGAATATCTCAATGGAAGCAATTAGAATGATTAAGCTAGAGCTGGGGTGAGAACAGGGGAACACAACTTTCTAAACAGAACCACAGAGCTTGACTACCTACCACGTGTTATACCTGTAAGCAGCATGGGTGAGCTGCAAATGGAGACTTTCCTAAGCAATCCCTTCCCTATTGTTGCTGATATTGAGTGTCAGGTCTCATGACATACTTGACTACACTCTATTTTTCTTTATCCATCACCAGTTTAAAAAGCTCTTGTTAAAGCTATCAAGTGGAAGATAGTTCAAGACACAATAGACTCTATCAGGAGGCAGGTATTTTAACGAACCAGTCTGAAATCCATAGGATTTCAAAAACTCTTTTCATGTGGTGGCAGGCAGGCAGTTTTGTATTCACAAAGTGAACTCAGCTAACAAATTCCATCCAGGAGGACAGTAAGTCACTAGGAATACCTAAAGCTCTGGTTTTTTTTTTGTTTTTTTTTTTTTATCTGTTTGAAATTCTGAAGCCCACTGGTTCTTATATGGACACCGAATATTTGAAGGCCAGCATGGGAAGTGAAGAAATACACTCTGTCCAGCTGGAAACAGTACATATCCAATATATTCAGCATTACAGTAACCTTGGTGGACATAATTTGTGTCTCCCTGTCTCACACTGGAGTGGGATGTGGAAATGAATGGTCTCCTTCAAGAGCAGACACCCTCTAAAGCGGGTAGTGCACTCCAGACACCTACCACATATCCTGCAAGTCCTACCGGTCTGTTTTCAGTGTTTTACCATCCAACTCTCTGCTCTCCCAAGGTGCCTAACTCTCCCAGGCTTGGCATGAGAGCTCAGACACCAGGTTGCCACCTTGGGTGCCATCATAGCAGCTCCAGCCATTGTCATTCAGTCTTTCAGCCTGGGCTCTGATGTCTTCGGGCCTTCTGGGATGAGATATTATTCTGCCAAACACGCTCTCAGTGCTAAAGTGTTTCCATCACATTGCTAGCCGTGGATCAATCCCAGTGACAATGATTAAAAGACCTTAGTATGTTAAGGCTCCTGTTGAATGATTACAGAAGACTCTGTTTTTTCCCCTCTGTTTGTTTCAGAGGGAATTCACATAGTGATGACAGAATTAAATATGATGAATAGAGTGTTTGCAATCAACAGCTACTGCTATCAGGAAAAAGGGATCCTCCAGTTTAATAGGAGGACACTGGTTTCCCAGATTCTTATGTTCTTTTCCTAAGCATTCACTACGGGTCCTGTCAGAGTTACACTAGTACTGCTGATGGTACCTGGGTTTTACACTAGATAAAACCATATTCTGCATTTCTTACTAACAAGGAGTAGAGAACAGGACACAACTGACACCAAACATTCTCTGTTGCAATCTGTCACTTAAAAAAAATAAAAGCCACAGATCAAACAAGGAGGTATGAGTGTGGCAGGTCATTAATATTATCTACCATGCAGCAAATTGCTTGTCATGCTTCTTTTATACTCTTTTGTGTCTAAAGAAGACTGTTTGAAATGAGAGGCAATAAATATTTTTCACACAGCCTCATTTGTTAAGAAAGATGAATTCCTAAGTTTCCCAAAGAAACAAGAAAGATACACAAATTTCTGATCACAGGAACCTCATGGACATGTAAATAATTGATGTAAGTAGTATTATAAATCTTACAGATCTTATTTCTATTTGGAATAGGATAACATCATAATTGAAAATAATCATTATCATCAATATTGTTTTTCTCTATAGCAGAAAATAGCATGTGTTTATTGGAGACTGGTTGGGAGGTAGTCATTAATATTTTTGCAACTTCAAAAGCATGAAATCATTATGAAAACATCAGTGAGATGTGCAACTCTATTTCATCCAAGATAATCAGTTTTCTTGGTGGAGGTGTTGCTATTTTCATCATCAGTGACTTCAAAATGTACCTTAGGTACAGTCTTTTGATAGCTGAAAGCCAAGGAGCAAATCCTGAAAAAATGGAAGAGCAAGGGAGATATTTCCAGTAGACTTATCATTCCTAAATCAGATCTGGATGAGCAGCTCTCTCAGAGCTGATAGCATTACATATACAGATTAGTAGTAAACTCTAGGTTTCATGGAAAAATGGTCAAGGAAATCTAAACTGATTAAGAAGTTAGTGAAAACAGTCTGATACTCTGATTAATGTCTTTATTTTCCAACACCTTTCTGCTCTCATCTGGAAGCCTATTCTGGAACAACTTCACATTTTTGTCACTGAGAAACTGAGAATCATGTCTCACTTATTGTCTTAGGATATTTTCCACTTCTGAGTTGAGAATTCAGGGATGGGATTAGGATCACTCATGCTCATTTTTCTTTGGTAATTTTTGGTTTTCCTTGTCCTGCCATTATTATTTTTTAATTATTATTTTGATGGTGGTGATGAACCTTTTACTTATTACTTGCTTTTGCAGGAAAGAATTAGGCTAGAGAGTCAAGCTTGGCTATTCTGCTGCTGAAAACAGATATGTAATGACAACACTGAAGGTATTCCACAATGTACTAAATAATTGAAATAAAGGCAGAGAACTCAGAATACACTGAGAGTAGATGAAATTATTGATGGATAAGTTCATGATGATCTTCGTGCTTACTGAAGTAAAAATAGAGCCAGTGTTATGAGAATGTGCTGGGTAGGTGAAAACATTCATGTTGCTTTTAACAAAGGGTTCTGAGAGTTTCTAGCTAATTTAAAAAAATAAAATAGAAAGTATCTAAAAGAGAAAAATTAGTTAAATATTAGAATCAATGAAAATGGGATTAAAATTTGTTGCATGGTAGTGTGCTGGGTGCTTGTGGTGGTATTCTGCGATATGAGTGCTTTCAAAGACATCCTTAATGGAAGTTCTTAATGCTCCAATCTAAGGAGGAATTATTTCCTTCTTCCTGTCCTTCTGAGACACACAGAGCTGGCTAGCCATCTCTCTAATAAGAAAATATACTGAAAACTAGAAGATAAGTGGTGATCTTTCAATACCTGCTAACTCACAGGGAGAGGAGAATGTACCTCATTAACTAACTCTCCAAATTTTTAATCCTTATTCTCAAAAAGTTCCAACCCTTTCCAAGTTACACATGTTTTACATGCAAGGCTAGCAAAACTGAAATCATCATTGAGTTCAAAGGGAGCATCATCAATGTGAAAAGCTGTAAAACATCCCAAAAGTAATGTATCAGATTCTCTGCTGATGCAAACTGATTCTGATTCATTGATTTCATTGTTACTGTTCCAGTTTAGCACAAAGAAAAACAGATATAGAATGATATGTTATGTTAGCTTATACTCCTCAAAGGATAGGTTTCTATCAATGCTATTGGAATTGGGGAGGAAGAACATCAATAATCTAATTCACAGAATTGAGATAAATGATATTCTGTGGTCCTAGTTCTACCTTACTGAACTTATATAAATAACAGCTCACTTCTTATATATATATATTCCACCAACATTCTGTTATTTTAAGTTGTTAAGCCATTTTATGCTCCCTTGACCTAAAACAAAGTTCATACTTGCTTAGAGAACTCTTTTAAAAATGTAGATTCTTTGACTGGGATATCACTCATATAGTACTTAAGTAACATATAAACATGATGTCTAGACTGAGCAAGGGGTGCTGGAGATTATGTCAGATTACCTCCTGCAATCTCTTCTTTAGTAAATGATTCTGTGATTGTATGATTCTTAGTTTCCCACAAAACTCATTATTATTAGACAACTCAGATGACTGTTATGCTATATTCCATTCAAAAACATGCAACATGTATAGGAATTACAGAAGGGTAAAGACCTCAAAATCTAAAATATTTAACATAGAAGTGCCAGTGAGGTACTCTTACACTTTATACCAACTTCACTTGGTGTTAATATATGAGCAGAAGATAAGAACCACAAGTGGCATTAAGTATACCTTTTACTCAAAGTGACAATGTTTGATGGAGCATAGACTATTCTTATCCACTGAGAATAGTTACTTTTTGAGGCATGAACACAGTGGCAGGACAGTTCAGCATACCATTCACCCTGACATCCACGGAGGAGGCATGATTTCACAGTCACTAATTACTTGAGATGCATCTCCATGGCTCAGTGCAATTCTTGTAAGAAGGGTACAATCTAGCCCTGGGTGACCTTGGCATGGTCACACACCATAATGCTACACCATACAGGGATAATAACTTATTATAGGACTAATTAACTTACACTGGAGGTAATTCTTCTCAGCAGGTACATTTAGGACAAGCATAGCACTGCAGTGATTCATCTGTACTTCTTCCAGTCCTTAAATTATCTCATCAAGCTCTGACAAGGTTTCACTGATAGACATAATTCCAAGGAAAAAAGAAGTCACTTCCAGTATGCATGCATGTAGATATCTATAGTTACACAGAAAAAATGTACAAATTAATACATTTTTATTCAGACCTTTCCTAAATTGGCATTGAAATATACTTAGGAAGAACAAACTACTAGCATAAAATATTTAATGAACAATCCTTTTATTTATCATCAATAGCCTTTTGCTTATATGTCAATAAGATCCTCTGGAAAATAAAAGAACAAGAAGAAGAAGAAGAAGAAGAAGAAGAAGAAGAAGAAGAAGAAGAAGAAGAAGAAGAAGAAGAAGAAGAAGAAGAAGAAGAAGAAGAAGAAGAAGAGGAGGGGAAGGGAGGGAGAGAGAGAGAGAAAGAGAAAATCCAGCAGGAATTGTATTTACCATCTGCTCAGCTCACCACAGTACAGTAGTCTAAATTGTTTAGAGTAAAACTTTCTGTTTGTGAAGGCATAAACTCTTCCTGATTTATCTCTGTGAAGCCAATTAAGTGTGGTGTTTTTGAGAAGGGTGGTGGGACATACCTATGAGTCTGTAGCTTGGAAAAGAGGATTCTAAGGTTTTACTGATCCCATTTATTTATTTATTACTAATAAAATTCTATGAAAATCAAGGGCAGAACAAAAGAGGCTTTACACTAGGCTTTTCTATTTAAAGCTATAGCTTTTGAAAAGGCCCCATTTCTACATCCAATGGAGCTCTAGTAAATCATCATGGTCTGTCACCACCAAGACATCATTTGCCTTATATTTTTTCCCATTGATCATGGAATACCGTTGTCCAACCAATTATTCCAAGAAAATGCGGATAATCTGATCCTGAGGAAAAAAATATTTTTCTGTATTCATCAATAGGAGAATCAAACAGACGACTCTTTCTGATTTACAGAATGATACAGTAAAATATCAAAAAATTCACGTGCAATAAAAGTAAATATAAGAACACATAAAACTTTAAAATTAACAAGGTGGACACGCTAAGCCAAGATGATTTTGCTACCAACAAAAAGAGACCCTCTTCTTTGTGCCTTTGCCCTTCATCAAGACAAAAATATTTCTCTCCAGATAAAAGTTTTATATGCAATCCTGCTTCTTTTGGGATTTATTCTTTGGGTCATAGTTCCACATGCTGCAGGTCTATTAAGACAGCACAGAGTCATAGAAGACAACATTTTCATCTTGTGCCAAGTAGACAAAGCTCACTTTACATGAACAAGAATTAAAACAAAAGGGCTGAACTTAAAATGGCAGCATAAGCAGATAAATATCTTAACCTAGATTTACTGAGATAATCAGTTAGAGTTCTGATGTTCTCTCTTCCTCATTCATTTCATCTTCTGTTCACTAGTCTGCCCTTCCTCTGGTAGATGATTTCATACTTCAGAATTAAACCCTTAGATTATGATGCTGGCAGCTGCTTTATGTCACTGATTCTATTATAATAAAGAAGTCAGGTTTCTGACCAGGGAGGATATCATAAGAACTTATAAGGGAAAGAAATAATTGATTGCTGTAAAGGTAGCAGCCAGACCTTTAATAAACTTCACAGTATATTTAGGAATCTTCAGACATGAAAATTAAAGGCAATGAAAATGAGGATAGTTTTTATTTGGCAGGTGCTGATTTGGAACAATAAATGTTGCATAGCAGGATAATAGATTTTTACTCAATGAAAAGGATAATTATAGCATACAAGAAAACAGACTGTGGATATCACTAAATAGAGGTCTTCAAAGGACAGGTAAAGTATCTGTTTCGTTTAATTTTATTTCTTCCACTTATTAATTGTTCCACTATTTTACCCACTCACAAAGTCATATGTATAGCTTAACTGATCTTCAGTTTTTTGTTGCTGAAAAGCCAGATGCCTTGTCTAAATTGATCATCTAGTCCCTCTATAGTCTAAGCCACTTGAATGGGGTGTTTTGGGGCCATCCTAAAGATGGGATCCCACAAGAGCAGATTAGATCACACTTTAAAGGTACTTCTGTTTATTCTTTAACAAAACAGAGAACCTTTAGACTGGATGTCTTGTTCTTACATGGTTAAATTGATGTCAGATATGTGCTATTCCCAATCCTTATTCATAAGCACTATCTTCTTTTCAATATGACATAATCTGTCCCTCAGATGGAAAGTCTGACAATCAGAAGTGCTAACCTTCCCAGATTTGGATTAGTTATCATTAAATATAGCTTTCAAATATCAAGTGGGTTTCTTGAATGGAAAGCAGCCATATACCTGACTTTGAAAGAAGAATCATCCTTCAATATGAAGCTAGTGTTTAATAAAAGTCATCATTATAAATCACTTTACAGCTGCTGGTGAAAATCCATTCCTGAAACTGGTAAACTACACGTACATTCTTATAAATGTTTAAAACAAACAAACAAACAAAAATAATCCTGCTTTTTACTCACACAGACACTTAGAATTGACAGCTTTCCCCTCCCTTTGCCATGAGTAGCATATGCAAAACTTCCTGGAAATCAAAACTGGCTTTAATTGTATTGGAAATGCACAAAGACTGTGTCTCCCATATAATCTGAAGATTGGAAATCATTTGCAGAAAGTTACGTGTACAACGCTGAGAAAGTCTAGATTTCTCTTTGGATAATTTACAGACAGAAAGAGGAATGAAATTCATTAAATAAAATAATATATTAAGATTTCTATTTTCCTAAAGAAACTCAGTTAAGTTCCTGGCTATTGAAAGCTCTTATGTATGACGACATGTTGCTACACAGCTTTTAAGAGGTTATTTATTAGCTGATTTTCTCTGGGGAGAGTTTGAAGAGAATAACTGACAGCCCTAGCTCATGTAAATGTGTGACCAGCCCTAAGGGAGTACAGGCTTATTTCTGTTCACTTTAGCACATAGATGGCAAGTAAAGTGATTGCCATAGATGGCATAAAATTTTAAACTTTCCACTTAACCTTTCCACTTAGCATGGTATGTAAGTAAAGAAAAACATGAGCCCAGTCCCCACAACAACATGGCAGTACCAGGAGTATACTATGCTCATGGGTTATTCTTTCTTTAGCTCTTGAGCCAGGTAGGTGTCTGCTGCCTTAAATGACCCTTCATCAAACTCCGCTGTGTAATGTCAACTACTCCACACAGATTTCCAAGTCCTACACTCTTAATGAATACTAGTCTTGGAAGGTAGGACCTCTGGATCTGTGTTAAATTACACTGATTTTTTTTTTTTTTGGGGGGGGGGGGGGGAAGGTGGTAAAGGTTAACACTATAGACCCTTCAGATCAATTGTTCAAGAGCACACCAACTCATTTTACACTGCAAATGAGGCTTCTGGTAAAGAGACCACACATTTTTAGTTTTTTGTTTTGTTTTGTTTTTTCCCACAGTGTCGATGAAGTACTTCATGTTGAACTGGATACATTGTCTGCATTTTTTTCCAGAAAATTCAGATCAAGTACATATTAAGAGAAGAGATTAATGTTGTTTTTCCTATATGCTTTCTTTCTCCTACCACTAGTAGCTATCAGAATAAATAACAAACCAACAAAAACCTGAAGAGTTAGGGGGTGGTAAATAATGAGGTTACTGTTATGTAAGCTATAAAAGGTTAAAACAAAACAAAACAAAACAAATACAACAACAACAACAACAACAAAAAAGCAAACACACACACACAAACATACTTTGCACAACTGAATGGAACATCACGTTTCCACCTACAGATAAATCTTGCAAAGGTAAAAGACAGACAGGCTCTGGAGACAGAAGTCATTCACTGGAATCTGAGGTTTCAGCAGAAGCTGTGCAAATTTATCCATGTTGCTTTTTCTTTGTACTACCATCCAGAAGCAAAGGAATAAAACTGTCTGCATAGACTACAACAGGTCCAAATGCCAATGCAGGATAAATAGAAGAGATTTCACAGTGGGAATTGTGACTGTGAAGTGCTTTTGATGGCTGTTGGAAATAGGGCAGGGGGCATTTCCAATGCAGAAAATCCAGCACATTTTGAGTGAGATGGGCATAAGCAATCATTTATTCTGTCCAAAAGTAGTGGGTAGGAAGCGTTTGGAAGAGAATGTCTGTCTTCTCTGACTACAGAAGTTGAGTAGCTTAAATTAAATACCTAATCTTTGGAAGGCTAGAATTGGCTGGTATTAAACCAACGTGTCTATGCATCCATCCCTAAGACACTAGAGGTTAGTGTTGGTAGTGATGAGATCAAATGAGGAGGAAAAGGGCATGGTACTTCATTAAAAAATGTTTCCATGATATATTTCAGTTTATAGAAGTCCAGTTCATTACATTTATGTTAAAGCTTGAGCTTTATGACAGCGCTACTGTGACTCCCCACAATGTCAATGGCATTTAAACTCTCCACTCTCATTGATCTGCCCAACAGTACCCTTCAAGCACATACAAAAAATGACTGAATCATTATCTTGCCATCAAAAGAAGTATTTCAATGACTTTCCTTCAGGCATGAGCTGCCGTTTGTGAAAGGAGTTGTCAAAAGGCCAAGGCCAAATGGCACAATTTGTAAATAAAGCTGTCAATCAGTCCATGGGGTCACAAGAGAATTGCTGCAAACAATTTTTTCTCTTTCTGCTCAGTTGTGGCAGCAGTGTTATCTTAAAGGATCCTCAAGACTCAGGCCAGGCACATGTGCCACCTATGAATCCAAGGAACCCAGTTTTCTCCTGTCTCCCTTTTTTTCTTTCACAAATTTAAACACCATTCCTTGGCCAACATCCTTTCTGGTTATGAAAAGTGCTGTCGCGCACCTTCTGTATCTGCCACCCAGCTGCTGAAAAGAAAACAAGGTTCAAAGAGTATTATCTTCAGGGACAACTGAATTTCACCAAATTTTCTCTTTCTTTGACTTTATTAACTATGGAGGCTGGTGGGTTGAGTCCTAGCTGACGGATGTATTTTTTAAAGGCCTTCAAAGAGAGAAGGTTTTACTGTTACTTGTCCTCCAAATAACCCATGAGAAAACATGCCAATGTGATTTTTTTTTTTTTACACTCATTTGATGTTATTCTGCTTAAATGT